GCCCACCCTGACACGGGGTGGTAGCACCTGTTAGGGTCCTAGCTATGGACAAATAGTTAACACCTAAACTAAATAATTTTTGAAGGAAAAATTATTATGAGCAATACTTTAAAAAAAAGTACCAGCAATACAAACAAATATACATTCTTTGAAAAAAATATTACCAGCTATAGATTTCTTCAAGGAAAAATATTCCCAGATTTTTGAAGAACAACATATTACCAGAAATAAAAATGTTGTCAGCATTAAATAACCCATTGTGGTTGATATGCCGTAAAACAAAAGAAAACCAAACTTAACAGGTGGTACCATCCCAGGTCAGAGTGGACCTATGCACTACGGCAATTAAGAGGGGGCTTCACGTTCCTCAAAACCTCCAGTCTCCCAATAAGAAGTTTTGCTGCTGGATGCAGTTTATCGTCATACCCAGGACTAGTCATATTAACAACCAGAATAACGCCAATAGTCCGGGTGAAAATAATCTAAAAACCCGCCTTCCAGAAGGGGTTTTAAGCTAGAGCCTAAGGAAATCATAAAAATCCCTCTGTTGGGGATTTTGGAAATCCTTTCTTCGCTTTTAACGAAATTTTCTTGTTTCTTAATATTTTGCTTAGCTTTTGGAAGGTATCTTTTGATATTCCATTTTCATAACACAGCCTAAGAAATCAGGTGCAAACGAAAGTGAACTCCATTGAACAATCAGCCTTATTTTATTATATTACAATACTTATCTGCTGAATTCTGATGAATAGAGCGCGCAGCAGAATCAAACCAGAAATAGGACAAGAACGGTGCGGGTGTCGTTAAAGACACTGGAACAATGAATGTAATATTTATGCTTAGAATGATATCAAAAGTAGCAATACAATTATAGAAGGATGTGTACCTATGTTTTATAGATCATGCAGGAACGTTTAACAAAATACGTCACAAATAACTATTTGAACTGCTAAGTAACCATGGCATATTTGGGAAGGATATTAGAATAATCCACAGTCTATGCTGGCAGTAAAACGCTTGCATGCGGATCGAAAACGAATTAATTTAATATACAAAAATAGAATGTGATGTAAGACAAGGATATGATTTCTCAATGGATTTGTTCAACCGATACAGCAAGTTGATTTTGAGAGGATTAAAAGTTCTACCAGGATTCATTATTGACGGCCACATTCTTAACAACATAAGATATGCAGGTGGACACAGTGTTTATAGCTGACACATAAAGGAAACAACTTCTACAGACGTTAATGAAGGAAAGAGAGAAGAAGGGACTAAACATCAATTGCAAGAAGACTGAATCCACGGTTGTCAGCTAAAAAAAACAACCCAACATATAAATTATAAATTAGCAAGATCTAACAAGCACAACAATTTAAATAAGTGCTTTAATAAAGAACGGTAAGGGGGACACTGAAATCGGAAAACGCATTGGCATAGCGGAAAAATGCCTTCTAAAAGCTAAGCGAAGTATTAAGAAACGAAAAAAAATTCGTTTGAAAAAACGAATTGAGTACTGAACTGTTATGTATCAGCCCTCCTATATGGCAGTGAATGCTGGACAATCTCCTCACAGATGAAGAAGAAACTTGAATCAACAGAAATATGGTTCTACAGAAGGATGCTGAGAATGAAATTAAAGTTCATGCCTTTGCTTTCTGGTTAGGAAGAATCCAAGTCGATGTCTATTTAATACGGTTAAACATGAAATTTAAAAAATTCTGTTCGTATAACATAGAAGACAAAAAATAATAAGAATTTTTTTCTTTCAGTGATGTTTAACCCGGACAAGGCCCGATAGCCACTCCAGGTAGACGATTAAAGAAAAAGAACCAAAATTAATACGGATATGTTGAGAACGTAACGATTCTATACTTGAACACGTAGAGATTACCGGAAAGAAGCGGTTCCTGGGAAGAAGTTGCTAAGAGTATAATTTACATTTTATCAATACAGGATGATTGAAAAGTAACTCCCTATTTTATATAGTCATGACTTCACACTCTTTTTCTTTGGGGTTAGTTAAGTTGGGCAATTCTACTATACCAAACGAAGACTTTGGAAGAACTTGAAATGCGAATACAAGAAGTTATGTCTTCTATACAACAAGATTTCCTGGTGAAATTAGTTGACATGATTCCTGGGTGTTTCGAGAAGCTGGTAGCGAAATTTGGTGCCCATATCGAATTTTAAATAAAACTTCATGCTAAATGCTTTCCTCTCGTATCCATTTCTTGTAAAAATTATGGTTAATAAATACATTATAAGTATTTTAAAATGAGGAGTTATTTTTCAATCACCCTGTAGAATACGAAGGCAATGAGGGGTTTCGGTACAATGGGCGTGGCATGGTAGGTCTTAGTTGTGAAAGTTAGAACTGGTGGAACTAAGGAATGTAGTTCGTCTGAGCACTTTCCATGGAAATTGCTGTAGAGCTATCAGAAGTATGCGACGTTTCGTCTGGGAGAAAGAGGTTGTAAGGTGGAAAATAGTTCATCACCCACAAGGACGCGGAGACACTTTTGAACACTATCGAGTCTGGAAATTGAAGACCTAGCAGCTCCTGCCCATATATGGCAGTTGGACTCAATTTTGGGACTGATCTGACTAATGTAGACTTCACAAGATTTGGCGCTCAAACCTTCCATCCTCCTTAAAAGTCCAAACCTTTCGAACATTAATTGAACCAGTTCCACTGTATGGATGAGAAACTTTGACATTATCTGTTCGTCTTGAAAGACGACTGGATGGAACATAGACAAATTTACTTAGAAAAATTCAGAACATCATTTGGAGATGCCATGCAATGCTTACCATAATTTACGGAGAACAGGGACTAATCTGTCTTAAGCTCAAACAAAAATGATTACAGTTTGCCGGCCACTGTCACCGAGCGGACAGGGAAATTGTCTCATTCTTACTTGTATGGCATCCTTCTGGAAGTGTCTTCTCACAAAACTCAGCTTTCCCAGACACCATAGCTCTGGACTCAGGGTTGGACATTGGGGATCTGGGGACAGCAATGCAGGACCAAACAGTGTGGAAAGGGATTGTCAATGGAGTTCTGACCAACCATAGGGAGGTCGAAGAATGATGATGATCATGATGATGATGAGATATGATGCAATAAAAGAGAGAGAGCAGGAGAGAAATAGAGTGGATAAATTTGCCAGCCACTGCCAACGAATTGGAAATCATCCCATTCTTCTATAGCATCCTTCTGGAAGTGTCTTCTCATGAAAATGACTTTCCCAGACACCATAGCTTGGGACTCATAGGACATTCAGGATCTGGGGACAGCGAAGGACCAAACAGTGTGGAAAGGGATTGTCAATGGAGTTTTGACCAACCATAGGAGGATGAAGAATGATGATGATGATGATGATGATGAGATAAAAAGAGAGAAAAGAAAGAAACAAAGAGATATAAAGCAATAAATGAGAGAGAGAGGGGACGTAAGAGATATGAGTTTGCCGGCCACTGTCGCAGAGCAAACAGGGAAATCATCCCATCCTTACTCCTATAGCATCCTTCTGAAAGTGTCTTCTCACGAAAATTGACTTTCCCATGCACCATAGCTCGAGACTCAGGGTTGGACATTGGGGATCTGGGGACGGCAATGCTGAACTGAACAGTGTGGGCTGGGATTGTCAATGGAATTCTGATCAACCATAGCGAGGTCGCAAAATAATGATGATGATGAAGAGATATGAAGCATCAAAAGAGAGAGAAAAAGAGAAAGATAGAGATATAAAGCAATAAATGAGAGAGAGAGAGACAGAGAAAAAGTAAGAGTTTGTCGGCCCCTGCTACCGTGCGGACAGGGAAATCATCCCATCCTTATTTCTATGGCATCCTTCTAGTAGTGTCTTCTCACGAAAACTGACTTTACCAGACACCATAGCTCGGGACTCAGGGTTGGACATTCGGGATCTGAGGACAGCGATGCAGGACCAAACAGTGTGGAAAGGGATTGTCAATGGGGTTCTGACCAACCATAGTGAGGTCGAAGGATGATGATGATGATGAAACTTTTTTTACATTTAACTCACCACGAAGGACTTTTTTCTGAAATATAATTTTCAAAAGCTAACACAAAATAGGCTCTGAGTAGAGCTTCGTCCAACCCCGCAAGATGTTACAAAGCCAAAACGCTAATCCAAGAACTCGATCCATATTCTTAAATCAGATCTGGTCTATCTGGCTATTGAGGAGGAACTCTCCTTCGTAAACGGAGGCGATAGAATCACAAAAAAGTGGCACCAGATAACAGTAACCGCATCACTTGATGCTCAACAGCAAAAACTAAAATTGATAGCGCATGAAAATAATGAAAGAAATTGTTGAGAAGGAAACCCCCGTCATTAATGGAAAGAGCTATAACAGCTATTGGACTCCATTTTTCTTTAAAAGTTATTGATGCAGAATACAGAATCTGTGAGCCGAGTTCAAATTCTGACTAAGTCTGCTACATTCATTTTTGAACTATTATTCCTGGGAAAAGGTATGAGTATATTTCTATTTCTTTTCTTCCAGCTTTTCTTTTTCTTTTTCTTTTTTCTTTTTTAAATAGCAGTGTAGACTCTAGTCCTGTGGCTAGCCTAGGATAAGTACAAAAAAAAAAAAAAAATAAGAAAGAAAAAAGGAAACTACAAACCGTGGAGATGGGAGCGGGAAACAATTCCACTATCATCCCCCAAATCCTTACATTACCCACTACGTCTTGAACGGATAAGACATTAAAAAATTTTTTAAAAATGTACAAAGAAAGAAAGAAAGAAAGAAAGAAAGAAAGAACGAAAGAAAGAAAGAAAGAAAGAGATAGGAAAATATCATTAGAACAAAAGAAAAAATGGAAAATATAATTAGAAAAAAGAAAGAAAGAAAGAAAGAAAGAAAAAGATAGGAAAATATCATTAGAAAGAAAAAAAGAAATTGGAACATATAATTAGAAAGAAAGAAAGAAAGAAAGAAAGAAAGAAAGAAATTGGAAAATATCATTAGAAAAAAGAAAGAAAGAAAAAAGGAAGAAAGAAAAAAGATAGGAAAATATTATTATTATTATTAGAAAGAAAGAAAGAAAGAAAGAAAGAAAGAAAGAAAGAAAGAAAGAAAGAAAAGAGTTGGAAAATATAATTAGAAAAAAGAAAGAATGAAAAAGAAAGAAAAAGAAGGAACGTATCATTAGAAAGAAAGAAAGAAAGAAAGAAAGAAAGAAAGAAAGAAAGAAAGAAAGAAAATATAACTAGGATGAAAGAAAGAAACTCGATAGCGGAAAAGATTAAATAAAGTTCAAAATAAACTAAATCCGTTGGGATATGCGAAAGCGGAGAAGCCAAAAAAATGCATGGCTGCCCATTGATTCCAACCCGACATGAATTTATTTAGACTTGCTTAACACGAAGAGGAAACAGTTTCAAATGAATCAATGTCTAATAGTCTAATCTTTCTTTCTTTTTAATAGTAACAACAACATGACTCAGCATTTTAAACAAGCGAATAAATAAATAAAAAATGAAAAAAAGTAAACACCGATTAAAAAGTGTTAAAAAAAAACAACCATGTTCAACAACGCAGAACTTCATCAGGACTTAGTTAGGTAACCGTTTAGCGACACCAGTTACTAAAATCAAATTGTAACTTTGTTCCGTACTAAACAGAGGAAGCCAAAAAACTTCGCTTAGTCTGTCTGACGCATGACCCCGAAAATTGAGGGCCTACCGATTAAACTCGCTGCACCAACTTAGATAAAAGCGAGACCAGTTTGTTGGTCATCACAAGCACTGATTTCCCAGGAAGCACCGATTTCCCTTTTTTTTATGATCACAGAATAAAAATCGAAAACGATTAGTCCGCTTTTCCTTAAAAGTGCATAAAAATAGTAAATCGACTGACGGAGTCGTACTCCCCCGACTCCCCGGATTACCGATAACAATTGAAAGTTCATTTTAAAAGGCAGATATTTCAAATGCTTTCCTTAACATTATCAAGTGCAGCCACGGGCTAAGGTGTTGGGATGGAGATCTATAGCATTAAAATGTTTGAAGTGCTCATTACTAACAGAAGCTGAAAAAATAAATGAAACAATTATAAAAAAAAAAATCAAAGTCAGACAATAACGGAAGCTAATTATTATTCATTCGCAATAATAATAAAAACAGAAAAGAAAAAACTTAGATAATAATAAATGGGAAACGCTGTCATTAAAACAAATTTAGTGTTAAGCAATAAAGATCATTTTAATATTTATTCGGGGGTTCGCTAAGCAATGACGTATCTCATTACTATGAATTATGAGTCAAAAAAGTAGCAGAGTGGCGGGGGTGCTATACTTGCCTACGTCCTTAAGGGACACGGCACAATAAAGAAATAGTTGTGAGTTCAATCCCTACGTCGGGCGGTGTATACTTGCACTATGTGGAAACGGTCGAGCAATAACTGAACATTTCTAAAGAAATAAATTATGAACTAGACGAAATATCCTTAGACATGAATAGTGGAATGAGAAAAATCTACCCCTGGAGATTAAATAAAGGGTACAGTTCTGAATTCCCTGTAGGTTACCCAGATCGATCTACCTCCGAGGAACAACGATGAGGGCAATAGTCCGAATATAAATAGTGTCAAAATTGCCTTCGATCAGCATGGCTGATGCTAATCTCCAGGTAAGTGACTCATTGCGCCTTTTCGGGATAACGCTTTCAGCTGACATGAAGAGGAATGACTATAATGAATTAATTGCTACGTCATCTGCAAAGTTCACTGTGCCTTGCGAGACAATTTTTCTCTCCAGAATCTATCTTACATGTCTATAGAATAATGTAAATAGTGTACATAATACATCATCTCAGAAATACAGACAGATACTGAAGGGACAAAACGTTGTAATAAATATGGTGACAAAGATGTGGACAATAGTCCAAATAATGTAAATAATCTATATAATACCTCATCTCAGAAATATAGACAGATACTGAAAGACCAAAACGTTGTAATAAATATGGCGACAAAAACGGACGATAGTCCAAATAATGTAAATAATGTATATAATACCTCATCTCAGAAATATAGACAGATACTGAAAGGCCAAAATGTTGTAATAAATATGGCAACAAAGACGAGGACAATAGTCTGAATAATGTAACTAGTGTACATAATACCTGAAGGGCCAAAACGTTGTAATAAATATGGTGACAAAGATGAGGACAATAGTCCGAATAATGTAAATAATCTACATAATACCTCATCTCAGAAATATAGACTGAAGGGACAAAACGTTGTAATAAATATGGCGACAAACATAAGGACAATAGTCCGAATAATGTAAATAGTGTACATAATACCTCATCTTAGAAATATAGACAGATACTGAAAGGCCGAAACGTTGTAATAAATATGGCGACAAAGATGAAGACAATAGTCCGAATAATGTAACTAGGGATCTGGGACTTATAAACCCAATGTGTCGATAAAGATGTTTTACATTTAATACAATTTCTGTTAGTGTAATTTTTCTCTCGCTCTCTGTGTTCCTGGTTCCCATATTTTACTCATGTCTATGATTTTGACATTTTTGTGGCCTAACATATGCGCTGATTTCTTCAATTTTCTTATTTTTCAGTAACATTCTCTGTCTATTCAACTTTATTCCACAGAGAGCGATGATCCTCCTTTTCCCAGTGAATATATATATATATATATATATATATATATATATATATATATAGGCAGCAATTTTTCATTGATGCATGTTTCATTAAATAATATAGACAAGTTGTGTCTATTTATTTTAAGTAAGTTCCTTTTATATTGTCTGATAAGCTTAATCACATTATCGTTGAAAGACGAAAGGAAATCACCATATTGATACATGGTTAAATCCTATCTATATCAGCCAGCACACGGATGAAAAAATAATGATAATCTGTTTTTGTTGCATGAAAATTTTCTTTAAACGACTAAAAGATTTATATACGAGTTTATGAAAGCCAAAATGAGTGGCAGCTCGTGACGTCACACATGACCAATAAAAAGAGTGAAAACGTGAAGTATTATATGGGAAGCCTTTGGTATAAACCAATGGCTTCTGTTATCAGTTATAGGCATTTAAGAATGTTTGACGTTTTGTAGTTTGTTTTATTTTATATATATATATATATATATATATATATATATATATATATATATATACACACACACACACACACACATATATATATATATATATATATATATATATATATAGATAGAGAGAGAGAGAGAGAGAGAGAGACAGCATATCTTTTTTTCAAGCATATTTCATTGAATAATATAGACACATATTGTGTCTATTTATTTTATAATAATCCTTTTCTGCCTATGAAGAAATATACTATTTTAAGGTGTGCTATATTTATTTTTATTAAAGGTCTCAATATCAGTGATAGAGCGTGTGTAAAAATAGGATTTGAACATTGAAGTCAACACTTATTTTTTTGACTAAAAAATGTTCACAAACAATATATATATATATATATATATATATATATATATATATATATATATATAGAAAGCATATCTTCAGTCAAGCATATTTCCTTGAATAATATAGACACATATTATGTCTATTTATTTTTTTAGTAATCCTTTCTAATTCTCTTATTAGCTACTTGGTGTTGAGTCGAAATTCCTCAAGGAAGGCACCATAGTTTTTGTTAACCCCAGTACTTTCGATCTTCTTCGAGATCATTCTAAAGGATGAATTGCGAAAACAACTGTGATCGTTGTGATGGAGATTTTTGTAAACACGTGTGAACGCGTTCTGTTATAATTATTTTAATATTTTAAATTCACCCACTGTAGCTATGGTGTTTTTGTAAACAAGTATCCACAATATAAGGGATCCAACCAGCGATGGTACAATGCAAAATTCATTAAATGTTGGTCAAAAGCATTTTAAAACATTGCTACTATACTCGTAATAAATTTTGTTCAGTGTTCGTTAGTTGCTTTTGATGTAGCGGGCATCGGGAATTTGAAATTAGACCAGCCATTAGAAATATTAACATAAATCGAAAAGAACATAATACTTTCTCAAATAACACCGAATAAATCAAACAACTATACCATAATCAAATACACTCACTATAAACAAGATGAAAAAATCCTGAAAAATTTCATAAGTATTGATATACAGTGCAACCCGGATATAAGAGAGTTGTCGGGACCGGAGAAGAAGTCTCTTATAATAATTTTCTTTATATCCGGGTTTGGTCTATTTTATATACATTAACACAGGCTCTAATTTGGGACCAGATAAAATCTCTCTTATATCCGGGTTTCTCTTATATCCGGATCTCTTATATCCGGGTTACACTGTACGCCCCATTAATCACAGTAAATAATCGACTAATCATATACTATACTAAATCTAACACAACCAACTTAATTATTCGATCCATCTGACTACAATTTTATACATAAGGGTCGCGTCTTTAAATGGATTATTAGTAAATTAATGTCTTATTAAGTCTGTTAGCGAAGAGATTTCGTCATTAATTACATTAATATTACTAATTCTTCGTATGATTAGCTCTTTATAATATAAAATATATACTGCCCAATATAATACATATATATATATATATACATATATATATATGTATGTGTGTGTGTATGTGTGTGTGTATGTGTTTGCGTTTCTGTGTCTTTCTGTATGTATAATTACCCCCATAAAGCTCAAAGAATCATTATTTCCATATTAACTTGAATCAATTTCGTTACAATTGGCTTTGGAACTCTTTAACCTTGGATCGATATTCTCTAACGTTTAATAACAAATCCATTCTCAATCTTATTATTTTCTTATTTATTTATTTACTTTTCTATTTTTTGAGGGGGGGTGGGGGCTCATTTTTTATCTTATTTTTTCCTGACTCATATATGGCCGCTTCATGTTAAAATAAAAAAAAATAATATAAAGGAGAAAAGGAAAAGGAAAAGAAATCCATAATTCCCTCTCACCCCAGTGAAAAGACCTATTTATCCCCCTCAGTTAATGTCAACTAATTTAATAAAATGTACAAAATACATTAACATATTTATTTACGACATCAATTTTGGGAATTCCCCTTGGAATCTCTATTCTGATCTCTCTCTCTCTCTTTACTCTTATTTTCTAATATGCACACTAATTTAAATATAAACCCAGGCATAATAATGTCTAGCTGCACGTTAAATTTGAATAAAATCCGACTTTTAGGGTCA